GACAAAGTCGGTGGTTTTCCAACGGGCGATGGCAAATCTTCAACCCAATCCACCCCGGAACCCAAGACGGGTTCAAACCCTTTCTTGTCCGAACACCCTCCCAGCATTGCTCTGGTGGTTGATGGTTGCAGCTCAAAACTGAGCGGCGGCCAGATAGCTTCCCAACTTTCCTGTCAGGCGGCAGGCCCAGACTGGTTGCATATTCCTGCGATTTTCATTAACCTCTTTGCTGGAGATTCTGCCCCGCTGTCCCGGGTGGCTGTGGAGTTGGGATTGCTGCAGCTGCAACCCCCCCATGTCTCCGCGGCTATTGATGCGCTGGATGATACAGTTTTTCCCACGCTCGAGCAGATCTGTGCAGCAGGTGTGGTTGGGGTTCTCTGGTGTGCGCCCCCGCCGTCGGCCGACCTGCAGTCGCGCTCCCGTGCGTGCCGCCTCATCCACTTGGTGGTGTCTCGGGGAGGCGTGGCCATCTTCGAGCAAGCCAGCGCTTCCTTGGCCTGGCTGGACCCTGTGGTGGCGCAGATGGTCCACGCGGTGACGCCTTATTTGGTCATCTCTCATCAATGCCAGTGGGTGTTTGGCCAGCAGGAGCATGTGTGCTGCAAGCGATGGACTTTCGCATCCAACCGCCCTTTGCTTATTCCCATCGCGGGGGAGTGTGCTTGCCGCTGCCCGTCGGGCGGGGAGGAAGGCCCGGCAAGTCAGACTGACACCAGAAGCAAGTACCCGGCCCGCCTCTGCGAGGAAGTGATGAGGTTGGCCTCTCCTTTTATTACACGCGCCGGCGAGGGAGCGCGGCCCCTGCATTTGCATGAGGTTCTCTGCGAGCTTCTCCCTGCTCCCCAGTGGCTGTCTGCCTCACCAGTTCGCGATGGAGGAGGTTTGTTCAGCAATGCGGATTGGCATCGTCCACTGGGTTCGGACCCTTTTGGAGCCCTGCGAAAAAAGTGGTTGAACTCCATCATCAACGCGCGGCTGCCTTCTCAGTTTCTTTTCCTTTTATCGAATAACTCGTTATCAGAAGATTTCCTGCCTGATTCTTTGGTACAAGACTGCCTCGCGGACCTGGCTCAATTTTTGCCTCAGGACTGCACCCAGCAGATTGCTGCGGGGCAGCCTTTTCGGTTAGAGCTGATTGCCTCCCTTCTTGACATTTTGCAGGATGGCGAGAGCACGTTTGTTCGAGGCTTGGAGCATGGTGTCTCGTTGGGCTTCACGCAGGACATACCTCCATCTGCGCACTGGCCACCCAATGAAGCCAGGGCTCCTCCCGATTTTGAGCGTTTAACAATTTGCCACGGCAGCTGGGGGACTGCGTCGCAGGAACCAGAGGAAGTGGACCGTTTGCTTGCCGAGGACATTCGTCAGGGCTTTGTCTTTCAGGTCCCAGGCGGGCTGCCGGAGGCTCAGCGGCGGTGGCCACACCTCGCGGTCGGGCGCGTGGGGGTTGCAACGTCGTCTTCGGGTAAAAAGCGCCTTGTTATGGATTCCTCCATCAGCGGGACCAACCAGAGTGGCCTTATGCCCAACAAAATGCACAACCCGAATTGCGCTTCACTGATCAACGCTTCCCCTCTCTTCCCGAATTCGGAGTGGACCCAGCTTAGCATTGACGTGCAAGCGGCTCACAAACGAATCAAGCTCCGCGAGCTTGACAAGGGCCTCTTGCTATTCCACTGGCGAGAGGAGTTGTTTGCTCACAATGTTTTACAATTTGGTGCTTCGGCAAGCGCCCAGTACTGGTCTCGTTTCATGGGAGTTCTTGTTCGTCTTTTACACCATTTCATGTTTGTGCCCCATGCTATGTGGGCTTACGTGGATGACATCCTCCTTCGCCTAAAGCGGGCTACCGGGCCCGCGTATGCAGTCCTTGTCTTGTTGTTTTTGAAGATATTGCACGTCCCACTTTCCTGGAACAAGGTCCAGTTTGGTTGCGAAGTCCGTTGGATTGGGGTGCTGGTCAATGTTTCCACATGGACGATTGAAATTCCCCAAGACAAGATTGATAAGTTGGTGGCTTTCCTGCAGTCTCTTCAAGCCGGGCACGCGACCATCGATCGAAAAGCCCTGGAATCTGGTATTGGTTTGATGGTCCATTTCTGCGATATTTGGACAAAACTGAAGCCGCACATGGCCTGCTTTTACAAGAACTTGGTGATGCCGCCGGCAACCGCCAGTTCATGCGACTCTGCGCAACTGGCGGAGGTTCTGAGCTTGTGCTCCGAGGATTTGGTGGTTCTGCAAAGCCACCCGCAGGTCCCCGTCCCCATGGGGGCGCGGCTTGTGGAAATCCATCGCTACCGCCCTCAGACACGCTGTGAAGCTCAGGCACTTCACGTCGAGCCTGGACGTGTCTGGTTTCGGTATCGGGATCCTTGTTCCCCCAAGCTCCGAGTTTTGCGGGAGACTGTGTCGGCTGCCCGGCATTGGGCTGCGGCTGCTCGCTCGCTGCCTCCTTTTCGAAGTTTGTGCCCGGCTCTGCCAGTGGCAATCACAGGAGAATCTGACGCCTTCGCAGCAGGCCAACACGCTGGCTTGGGGGGTGTTCTTCGTTTTCCGAAGAACCAACAACTCTGGTTTTCTCTGCAGGTCACTTACGCAGAACTGAAACCATTCTTCCATGATGTTCCTTCCGACTTACAGAAAATAATTTCGGCCTTGGAGCTCCTCGCGATTGCTGCTTTGATCCTGGTTGCTTCAAAGATGAGAGCGCGACCCTTGGTCACCATGTCGTTCCAGCTGCTCACAGATAATTCTGGCGCGGAAGCAGCCGCAAATCGAGGTTACGCGCCGCATGGTGCCTTGGCACGGGCTTCTCAGGCTCTATGTGTCATCCAGGAGCGTGCTTGCGTTGAGGTGCGCGTGAGCCACATCCCGGGCCATCGGAATCTTCAGGCTGACGCGCTCAGCAGAAATCAGTTGAGAGATTTTCGGACAAGTGAGCGGATCTCCGTTTCCTGAAGGGAAATCTTTTCGTGTCCCACCCAGAGGTTTCCGGGCACTGCTTGTTGGCCCGCATGTCACTTGGAGTGAGTGCGAGGGGGAAGTTGACTCAGACCTTGCGGGTCGTGCTACGAGTGCGAGGGGGGTGTGTGCTGCCTTGAGCGTTTTTGATGCTCAGACCAATCCATGTTTTCGGCAAGGGAAAATGTGGTGATGTGTCCCGCGTTTTTCCCTGTCGGGTTTGGTTTCAACTTCCCATCCTGGCCTGTGTCTTCCTCATTCAATGCTGTTGCGGGACGATTGCGAACTGTGGTAGACCTAGCGCAGCTAGTCGAACTGTTTGCTGAGGAACTGAGACGGCGTTTGTATTTGGGTTCAAGCAACACTCAGATCGCAACAGCATTGATGCATGTGATATTTTTTTTGCTCCCACCTCACCCACCCTGGGCTTTTACGAGAGCTCTCTGCGTGAGTGCTGCCTACCTTTGCAAAGAGCCGGGTCCATGGCCCTTTTTCGTACAGGTGCATTTCGTCACACTGACGGGATGTCGTAGCGGCCAAATGTTGGATCCTTTATGCTTCATTTTCCCGTTTGGCTTCGGAGAACGGGCCCGCTGCGTCTGTGCAGGCGTGGGGTCGATGGCTCCGTTACCAGGGGCGTGCTCATCCCTTTTGGGGGGTGTGTGCTGCCTTGAGCGTTTTTGATGCTCAGACCAATCCATGTTTTCGGCAAGGGAAAATGTGGTGATGTGTCCCGCGTTTTTCCCTGTCGGGTTTGGTTTCAACTTCCCATCCTGGCCTGTGTCTTCCTCATTCAATGCTGTTGCGGGACGATTGCGAACTTTGCGGTCCCTGTGGACACGACACGGCCACATCACCTGGAAAGGCCCGGAGCTGAACCAAATCTTTGGGGGAGACTGACGAAAGACTCGATGGCAAAGTGAAAGCTTGCTAAGGAAAAGGGGTTTGCCTCTTGGAAACAACACCAAAATGGTTTTGTTTTAACCAACCCCCAGAAGGGTATATATTCTCAAAGAACCCACATGCCCATATCTGAGCTTCCAGGGCAGAACGTGGCCCTTTGCAGGGATCATGCGGCTCAAATCTTCGAATGTGCAGTGAACCAACACTGTTCGAGCAGTGCTGTGAACCTTCGGTTCATTGTAAGCAAAGGGCATGCGATCGTCATTAAGCAAAACACTTGCAGGCGTGAAATAGAGATCATGTTGCAAGCTTCCTGGCGTAGGTTGCGCATCAGAGACAAGAGTGCAGAAAAGTTGCAACTTGAGAGCCGGAGCTGCCGAAGTGCACTTTGTGCACCACTTAGACCACTTCGCGTACTACCTTCGTACCGAAGAGTTGCGATGCGCTGAAAAGGACTGTCAAATGTGCTCTCAGCGCAAGCTGCACGCGTATGCGAGCATTCTCAGTTGTTGGCAACAAGTTCTTATTTCATGGGACTCTATCAAGGCTTCCAGCATGGCTCATTTGAGCGGCGTCCAAGACCTCCGTGCACATGTTTGGTAAGAGTGGCGTGATATCGACCTGTGCATAAGGTGGCGTAAGCTAGTGGCGCAAGCAAAATGATACGACATAGCAAATCATGACACGTTTGGGACATGGCTCATTTGGAATTCAGAAGTGGGCCGCAAAGCTGTCGTCTGTACTCCTGAAAGCAACTCCTGCGAGCTTCGAGCAACGGGGCACTCCCAAAAGGCGTGGTTTCCCATTTGGTTTCGCTTTCATGAAGAGGGCCATAGGCTTTGCCAGTTGTTCATTGGACTTCCGCGCGAAAGCCATCTGCTGGCTTTCGTTCTCATAGCATTCGATGGTGAAGGTGCACACTCGTGTTAGGGAATTTGTGTGTGGGGGGTACAGCCGCCTTCAGTGAGCGCGGCATTCAGGGAGCTGTGGCCATGTTCGAGAGGGGTCTCTATATCCCTTTTGGCGGTATTGAACATCACCTTTTAGGCCCATTTGTTCGGTGCGTTTCGTTTGGTAGGGTGTGATGATTTGTACGGAACCCTGTATCAGCGGAGTCTCGCTCGGCGCAGGCTGTGCCTGACGAGCTCTATGCCGGATTCCCAGAGAAAGGGAACACATTGTTTCCACTTTGCTCTTGTGCGAAAATGACGCCATGTGCTTTGAGGGGACCGCCTTTTTGGTGTTCCAATCTTCAAGAGGGATGATGGTTCACTCGTGTATGCTTCTGGAATGAGTAGTGTGGGGGAAATCATTCTGACTTAGGCTAGCCCGGCCTGGTGTCTTGAAATGGTTTCGACCCATGCCTTGACTTGGCGGCGTCTGCGGCGCCTTTCGGCGGTGGTGAGCCTTATTGGAATGCCTCGCTTTTGTGGAATCGGTTTGGTTTGTGGTTTTGGAGCTATGAGCAGGTGTACATGTCAACCTGCAGCTCCAGTTTCATCAGTTTGCGGCACCACCAACGATATGCAAAACCAGCTACATTTATGGAGACATGCAGACCGAGTAGCACCACACTTGGGTACTCCAACGTGTTCCTCGGTTGGACCTTCGTTTTTTCCTTATCGTTCTTCTTTTTTTGCGCACGGGGTGGCGAAGAAAAGATACTCCAATGACAGCTTGCCGTGCGTGTGTTGGTCGCCAAAGAGCTGTGAGCCGGTCTTCTTGGATAACAACCTTGCTTGCTGGTACTCAGGACAAAAATGAGTTGGAATGACCCCTACAAACCATCCCCTATGGTTTCCTTTGAGGGAGTCCCCAGGTTTATTCCCAAACCTCTGGGGAAAAGGCGACTCGCATTCCATGCCCCGATGGCTCAGTGCCCAATTGTTTGGCAGCGTTGGGTGCGCGCGGCCTTGATCAAAGTACGTGCTTGGCGTGGCGTCCAGCGAAACCTGGTTTCATCCTTGCGTGAGGCCAGTTGAGGGTGCAGTTGCCTGGGCACAGCGCTAGAGCAGAAACGGGCGGTGACTTCTACAGCCAGCAGGCACAATCTGCGGCACGGATAGTTCACTGGCATATGGGTCTGATTTGAGCGCATCTCAGCAAGTGGCCGCGTCGCCTCCTAGTCTTGCTATTGGAAGCAGGTGACAGGTGAGGCTCACGGGTTCTGCTTCAGACCTCTACAGCTTTAGAGTTTGCATGCTTCTCCCAAGTCTTTTCATTAAAGGCTGCACGAAACGCCAAACGTTTTTGGCGGGAACTTGCCCATGGCCACAAAACGGGCCTATGGGAGGGCAGACTTTTCAAGAAAATCCGCGGTTAAGGTGCTGTCCGGGTTTCCCAGAAACACCCCCCCCCCCGTTTGAGGTTCCCGTATTTTCTATTATATCTTGTTGATTCTATAGGCCTGGCGTAGTGTTGCCTTTGCCCTCCCACCAACAAACATGGATAGCCAATTTTACGGGTAGTTTGAGGGTTCAGGTAGATAGATCAGCACAGTTTGGATCTTCCCAGGTCAAGGTGGTGGTCACAAAGATTCGGACTCTCTTCGAGGCCGATTTTGAACTGTCGCCAAGCGCGCCGGCTGCATGGAAGTTGTGAGGTCTGAAAAGGCTGGAACTTCAAAATGGGCAGGTTGTTTTTTAGGGGGCACCCCCTTTTGGTTTTCCTTTAAAGCTACAAAAGCAACCGTGTGCCATCAATCAAGTACATTCCCAAATTGTGTGGATCTTTGTCGCAAAATGGACGGGCTTAGCTTGCAAGGCTAAGTTGTGTTTTGGTTTTGTCGGCTTGCTGCAAGTTAACGAATCAGTGAACGGAGAAGAGAGCATAGATTCAGTTTGCAAGAGCTCCAAATTTGATGCGGAGTGCTTTTTTCGTCGTAGCTCATGGCAAACATGTGCTTCACGGCAGCAAGGGAAAGCAAACTACCCGCGAACGTGGCAGGTGTAAATGAACTGCACTGTGCTTCGAATCTCATGTGAATTGGGACGGCGGCTGCAAAACAACTTGTTTTGTGCACCTCGTCAAGCATGTGTGGCAGAATATTGGAGACGCACATCTGCTCCACATCAAGGCATTTGTGTTTTGACTGGGCCGGCATGGTTCAATTCCGGGGTGTGGCTGTGAACACGAAGAGCACTCCGACATTTGTAGTCCGTTTGCTGGGCTGTTGAAGGGCAATCCTCAACCCTTCTTGCGCAGGGCCTTGGCGGTTTCTCAATAGGGATCATGGACCAATCCTCCAATTTGAACAAACAAGCAACCAAAACCAGCCAAAACAATCGGCAAGCCATGCCTGCCTTGACTGCCTGAAGGCTTTCCAGAACGTAGCAAACATGTCCACGCGCAGCCGTTTCCTTTTTTTTTGCGCGGGTTGGCAACTTCTCTCTCTCGGCCAGGGCAGCTTTTTCTTGGGCGGCATTCGGCTATCGGGCGAAGCTCCTGCAGCCATTAAAAACAGCACCCAGCAGGCAAACCGCGAAAACACGAAGCAGCCGAGAAGGGGGAGAAAGGAACCTAAAGACAAACGCCCCAAACCGACAGCCCAACTACGCTATGCACAAACCGCGGTCCTGCCAAGGCCGCTGCCCTACTTGCGCAAGGAATTGTAGCCCATTTGGGGGTCCTTTTTGTTCAAAGGCGAGCCCCACATCCGCAAATGATTTTGACTCACACTTAAGGTCCCCACAATTTGGTAGCTGCCCTGGCCGTTTCCCCAAAAAACCCGGTGGACCCCTCCCCCCCCACCAAAAACCCAGCCCCCCCCCACCCAAAACCCCAAAAAAACGAAACACACCCCCTCCCCCCCACCACCAAAAACCCAACAAACGACACACACACACACAAACACAGGACATGGGCCCCCCCAACCTTCATCCCGACGGCTCTCGGCTCTCGCGTCTTTGGCCAGGGGCCAGCGCCTGCGGAGCTTGAGGCCGGGGCTCGCGGTTGGCCCTGGGACCGGGGGCCAGTGGGATGAAGCGCCGGGTCTTTCGTTTTTTTTTTTTTTTTTTTGTGTGTGTTTGTTTTTTGCGCGTTTTTGGTGTGTTTTTTTTGGGGGGGTTGCTTTGGGTGAGGTGGTTTGAAGCCCGAAGGCCCCCAGAAAGAGGCCTTTTTTTTTCACAGCCAAATCCACGGTGTGCCTTTTTGTTCAGGGGCTCCCTCCCCGCGCACATGCTGGTTGTCCTTTTGGCTTTTCTTTAAAACCAGTAAACTAGGACTGCCGTCAACAAAAAGACGCATCCATCCGGAGACGCCCCTGACGTTTTGCACAGCTGTTGAACATGAGGTGTGGTGCCAGCGCCGGTGCGTGCAACCCAGGGCCTTTGTTGGACCCCGGCCAGTGTTTCATGGGGGCTAGGGGAGGAAGCCCAAATAAAAAGCCTAAATACGGCCTTATTAAGGGCTTCATAAGGGCTTATTTGGGCTCCCTCCCCTTCCCTCCCTCCCCCCACCTTTGGGTGTTACATTGTTGGTGGATTTGGTTTTCAGGACTGGGACAGGACAGGACTGATCACCCGCAATCGTAACTTTGGCTCCTTCAGCTGAGCTCTGTTTCGCATTTGTTGCACGTGTTTTTTTTTTCTTCCTCCTTTGTTTTTTCTCGCATGGTTCTCCTCAACTCAACTTGCATTTTATTCGGATATTGTTTTCTTGCCCTTGGCCCTTGGTTCTGCGGGAAGCAGAACCAGACGCGATCCCCTACCAGTTGACACAATGCATTGGCCCACCCTATGCGCCAGTTGCACCCAGCTGCCTTCAACTGCCCAAGCTGCAAGGTCAGATATTTTTCCAAGGCCCGGGAAAAGCAAGAAGACCCATTTTTGGGGATGGGAACGCGAAGTCAGGCTTTGCCTTTGTGTTTAAGGAGCTTGAGTGAGCAATGCCGGCACGCGCAATATACACTGCTTGGGTCCCTTCTTTGCGTGTTTAAAGGGAAACCCCGTTTTTCTATTCTTGTCACAAATTTGTGATTAAGACCGCCTTAGGTGTCCCCAGGCTTGTTTGCGCATGTGTGATGTGGACAGCGGGTGGGATTCCTGCCTGATGACTACACTGGCAGGTATTTTGTCTGTCCATTGGAGGGGTTTTGGGTTCTTTCAGCGGCCCAGAACGGTTTTCCTTTTCGTTTCCCTTTGAGATCACAAGACTTCCCCAGAATTAGCTCCCCCTTTACTTTTCTTTTTTGGCTTTTTTGGAGTCCCTTTGTTTTCCACTAACCAGGCCAACAAATAAATAAATGCCGGGGTCCTAATTCCAGCCTAGAAGAAGGGCGGGGCACTGCAGCGAGGCCGCGGAGTACCTGGAGGCTGAAGTTGTGGCTGAAGATGCGGAGGCGAGCGGGTGCTGGCAGTCGAGACCGGCTCGGGAATGTGGGCGGGTTCAGAGTTTCAGCAAGCGCGAAGTTCGCATGAGATGCGCCTTGAAGCACAAGTTCTTCCAGATTCCATTGATCTCGTTCCAACCTTCCCCAGAATTAGCTCCCCTTTTTGCTTTTTTGCTTTTTTGGGGTTCCCTTTGTTTTTCACTCACGAGGCAAAAACTTTTTTTTTTGCTGGGGTCCTAATTCCAGCCAAGCAACATGGATAGGTTTGATACCTCTTTTGCTCTCCTGCGGCTCGATTTTGACATGGCGATCGACCTCGCCAGCTCCGCGCAGGCGGGCACAGATGTCGCGGCAGAGGCCAGTGGGCGGCATTGTTTTATTTATTTTTTTGCGCGATGAGACCCACAGAGGTCAGGGCCATCTACATGGTTGTTGTTGGGAAACATGTTACATTTTGCTTATTGTGGTTTAGTGGGGAATCCCCACTTAACTGCTAAAATTCAATTTTTGCTCCCCTTGCATAGGGGAAGTTCAACACAAAGAAATGGTGTTTGGAGAACTTCGGTCTAGAGGGGGAGTCCGAGCCATGTCCTCTTTTTGGAACCTCCAAAAGCGGCGATCGTCCTGCAACACCAGCGAGATCTGATCAACGTTTGGTTTGGGTTGGAACTCCAGGGCTGCGAGCCTTGAGAGTCTGTGGGCTGGTGACCAACATCGCTCTGGAGTGCCAAAGATCCGCGGAACCTCAGGATTTCTGGCTTGCTTTCCAGAAACACCTGGAGGTCGCTTCGCTTTTGAGGCAAATCAATACATGGGGTAACATGAAGTAGGTTACCCCCAGACTCAGTGTTTTTTTTGTTTCCATATCCCAGCAACCCCATGGCGAATGTTAGTTCCTTGGGCCCCTATTCGCGCCAGAGTGTTGGCTGAGCCTTCAGAGAGAAGCCAAAACACGATGGCATCTTTGCAGCGCCTTCCATCCATCCAGAAGGCATGCCGTAGATCTGGGACACAGTTTTGCAGCTGACGATTTGAGCAATGTCTAAACCCCACATTGGTTGGCCATTTCAGGCGGGAAACCTACGACCTGGTCTTGAGATGGTTATTCGGACCGCATGTTTTTCTCACCACAAGCTGATGGGGGTTTTGGGCACTCATGTGATCAAGGTCTTCACAGGGCAGATGTTCCGCAAAATCGCCATACGTGATGCCTTGCATGTTGCTGGCCCGTTGGTTTGGCACGCAAAGTCAATCTGGTCGTGGTTTTAGAAATGTTTGCTTCTTGTGGTTTAGTGGTTGAAACCCAACCACTAAACTGCCAAGATTTATTTTTTTGCTCCCCTTCCAGCATCAACCCAGGACATACCGCACAGATAAGTCAGACTGGAGCAGTATGTTATGGAAAAATCAAGGCTGTCCGAGTCCCATGGGTGTCAAAACCGTTTTGGGATCCCATTTTGGTAGGTGAATTCACCACCTATTTTAGTGGTTGGATTGGTTGTTCACTGGGGGCTAACCGGGATTTTGCACCCATTCTAGTCTATAGTGGTTGGATTGGTTGATGTTCACTGGGGGTACGGTTTGGATTTTGACCCACAGCCCCATGACCTGCACAAAATGGGATGGGGGTACAGAGGTTGCAGCGAGCCAAGTCGCCCCGCAGGCTCAGCCAGCGGTCACGGAGGCTGAGGCAGCGGAGGCTGCAGAGGTAGCGGAGGTAGCGGAGGTAGCGGAGGTAGCGGAGGTAGCGGAGGTAGCGGAGGTAGCGGAGGTAGCGGAGGCAGGGCGAGGGGTGAGAGTGGGGGTTTCTGAAAATGGTGGACCCCTTTTCTTGTGGGGCCATTGGGGTTCAGGTTGGCCTCTTGTTTTTGTGTCACTATTTGGCGCACGCAAATATAGAAGTAATCCTTGCATGCGGAGAAAGCTCTCTAGTGATGGCTTGTAAGGAATTGAGGGCCGGTTGTGGGGCGTTTATGGACTGCGATTCATGGAGTTCAGGTGATTGTTTGGTCGATCGTGCACCGGATTTGCTGATCTGTTTGTTGCTTTAATTGTGTGTGTGTGTGTTTGTCGGTTGTCGTTGAGGCTGAGGTTGTTTGGTGACCCTGCGCCTTTGCCCGGGTCATTTTGTTGTTACATTGGCCTTGTCTAAACTAGGTCCCCCAGTAGTTCCCTTTTTTCCCCTTTTCTGGGGGGGTTCCCCTACTAAAATAGACACAACTGAAAACAGTTGGCACCAACTTTTTCTAGCCTCTCTACTGGACCTAGTAATTTGCCAGTGACTCGCCTGCTGTTTGTGATCAACTTGGTGTTTGGGTACCAAGTCTCCGGACCTGTCACTTGGTTACTCATCGTCCTTTTTGCTTGCCGCAGGCCACGAATGTATCATGCTTAGGGTTGATTCCCGACTCTCTTCACCCCATGGTTCACTTTAGAAACTCCCGATTGGGCTCATGTTTGGAGACTCCCTGCAGAGAATGGGGAAGGCAAAGGCAGCATCATCCAGTGATCGTGAGCTGCTTGAGAAGCGAGCTGTCTTGCTTTCCGAAGGTTGAGAACTCTGTGAATTATGGTATCCTCATGTGGGAGTTTCGCAAACTGGGAATCGGAGCATTTAAGAAAAGCCAACCGGACATCTTTGCAGTGTAGGAAATGAACCGGTTCCTTTTTTGAGAAACATGTCGATGGTTCTTGTGCTTGTGCTCGCCAACAGTTGTGACAGAAATTGGATACTGAGAAGTCACGGGCAAAAGAAGGGTGGCTCGTCTTTTTTTAGTTGGGAACACACACACACACACATTTTTGCGTGTGTCCCGATTCCAAGACCTTGGGACGCTGAACCAGGTCAACTGCTCTGGGTGTACAATATATAGACACATATATATATATATATACACATGGTTCCGTATGTTTATGTATATGTATATATATATATATATATATATACATGGACCTTCCGACATGTAAAATTAACGCCGTTTCCCAAAAGTCCAATAAGTTTTGCCGGTTGCTTGAAACAAATCGCTCTTTCGGAGAAAAACACTCGCCGTGAGTCCAGGCAACAACAACGCCGTTTCGCCGGCAAATTACGCCATTTTGACGGCAAATTACGCCGTTTTGCAATTTTGATTGATGCTACAGTGTGCAAACACTGAAAACTGCCGGCAGGCGAAAATAATCGCCGTTGGGTCAAACAACATAGGTTTCGACAAGACAACAATCATTTTGCACATGTTGGAAGACCCAGGTGTATATATATATAGCATGTATCTTCAAATATTTCTAAATATAGATACACATCATATCCACATTAAGATACACAGGCTATCAACAATACATATATTTTTTTGCAACAAAGCACGAGAAACAGAGTTCCGATCGCAGGCCGTGCCGGATGCCGAGGGGGAGGGGAACCGCCGTTCCCCGGGCGCGGAAGCGGAGATGGAGACGGCACGTACAGGCATCCGGGGCTCCGCGTGTGTGTCAGAAATACGGGGGGACGCGCAAAGAAAATGGTGGTGTTTGTTTCGTTTTTGTTTGTTTGTTTGTTTGCTTGCTTGTTTGTTTGTTTGTTTGTTTGTTTGTTTGTTTGTTTGTTTGTTGCTTTCGTGTTTGTTTGGTTTGTTGGTTTCTAAACCCAGAAAAGAGAACCACATTGTGGTTTCAAGCCTTTTGCTTAGCTTTGCGTTTTGGTCGGAAAGGAAAGACCCTCAAAAGACACCTCATCTTCCGGTCAGTTCCATCATGTTAAGAGGAATATGTTTCAGGCGCAATCACTGCACCAGGCCGGCATCCAGAGAAAGTATTCGCATGCCATGCCAAATTATAGAGTGAGCATGCCAAATTATAGAGTGAGCCTTGGCGTTACAAGCACACACTTGCATTTCCTGCTGGGGTGTTCGATTCTCTGAAAGGAATACAAAGCGGAAGTACCCCAGGCTGAGTAAGTAGATCGGAGCAGTTGCGCACGAGTGGCTGGCATAAAGCAATGCGTCAATGATCGCACATATTCGACTTGCACCAAGGTTGCTTGCATACTCTGGAAGTAAACATCACCTTCTATCTTCAATGTGACAGTTCTTTTGGAGGGGTGACGAAGGAACCTGACGTTGAACCGCCCACATTGTCGAGTCATGCTGGGGAACATGCCCGATGGAAGTGAGTCGGAACCTGAAAGGCCCGAGAGGAATCTCCGGCCGTGGGGGTTTGGAGGTGTCTTGAAATGGAGGACCCAGAAAATGGTGGTTTTGCCAGTGCTAGTTTTCATTTGGACCCACCCCAGACACCCAGTCCTTCTTCTGTGTTTCAATGGGGCTGGGGTGGTTTCTAGTGAAACCATTTAGACCCACCCCAGTCCCTCGATTTTTTCGCGAGGGGTGGGGTGGGTGACCTCGTTTTTTTCCCCAAGACATGGGGTGAGAAGGTCATTCAGAGGTTTTGGGGTCGCCTCAGACGCCTCTCTCAGATCTGAACCGGGGCTGGATCCTGGTTGGCTTCCCGGACGATGCCAAGCGGGTGCGCGGAGGGGGGGGGGGCTGGTAGGGTCTTAGCGGGCCTGGGGCGCCTGGGGCCGGTTTTAGTTTAAGGCGTTTATTTGGCCCCAGAGACCGACATGTCTCTTTGTTTGAGGCGTTTATGTGGTTTTCAGAGGCTAAGACGCTAAGATGGCTCTTGGAATTGGTATTTGCCCGCTGCAAGTTGACAACCCAAACAGGGGAGAAATTCCCAAAGCAGGTTCGTGGGGGGGTTGGGGGGGGAGAAATCGGAAATCCCCCCCAAAGGAGATTCCGGATTCCTCTGATTGAACATGGGTTTGCGGGTTCTATGTTTATCTGCAGAAAACTGTCTCTTGTCGGTTCCGGCACAAAAACCATCCAGTCTCTCGCGATGCATCCTCACGCCTGGCATGGGCTAAGTTTCTGTTCGGCCTGGGGCCCTGCGGCCAGCATTTTCCTTGGGGATCATTTTTCATTTTTGCTTATTTTGGTTTAGTGGGAAATCACCGCTTCACTGCTCCAAATTGAGTTGTTGCTCCCCTTCCAGCGTCGACCAAGCCTCGAGCGCAACCAAATTCTGCATCGATGCGTATGTTGTTTGGCATCGCCACTTTGGTCAGCGACACTGGCACGCAGGACGCCTATCGGCGGAAAACGATGGTGCACTCCGACTTGGGGTGTCAAATCTAGGAAATCCTTGGAGTTGTTGGTTTCCTCTTGATGTTATTAGGCAGTTTTGCTCTCCGTTGGAGCTGGGTGAAATGCCATGTCAACCAGATTGAACCTGCCCGACAGCCAGCACCGCTTCAAACAATGTGGGCAGACAAGGATCCAATCGAAAGCGTAGAAGCAGTTCACTATGCAAAGAAGAAACTACCCTCTCATCCAAACATGGACCCAGATGTTTCGGGGACCTGGACGACGATTTCCTAATGGGTTCGACAGCAGAAACTCGTCTTTTCGAAGGCTCCAGGGCAGCAACGCGCTGAGACCCCAAAAAGCTTTCCCGCCAGCTTGCTCTGCTGGAGCGGTTCCTCTCTGGCTTTGTCCACCCCAAGGCGCGAGCCGACTCAATTGGAAGAGTCCGGCTTTCCTGCATGCGGTTTCAAAAAGGGGACGCCCCTTTTTTGATCAGGGCTCCTTAAAAGATACAGTTTGCCCCTTTGAAACATGGCTTTTTCCACCAAAATAAGGGGAAGCCACCATTGACAAGGCAATGTTCAGGTGTATAATGTAAGGATCCCTGTTGATGCTGGAAGGAAACCAACAGGAGCCAATCGCCTGTTTCGGTTCCTCGGTTCCCCAGACGGAGGATCTGGCGACGTGAAATCTGGTGGCAGCTCGGACATTGTGAAGTGACAGGTGGGCAGCCAAATCAAATATCGCAGCCTGTCCTTTTGGAGCGCAAGAAGCCGCCTAGGGAAGCGGATCGAGTTCCGCCACAGCAGCACCTGCCGATTCCATGGTTGACCAAATGACCCGGTCCCAGGCTCGTCAATTGGATCTATGTCCAAAAACTGGCTTCGGTGTTTGGTTTTCCTTTGACACCACGTGTAGCAGAAAGGGGGCACCCTCAAACAAAAGGAGAAGCAGATGCACGGTTGGGTAAGAGCTTTGGCCGCATGGCCGCAAATCAACTGTGCGAAAAGGACAAACACAAAAAAACCGGCCCGCAACAGATCGTGTCGGATGCATGTTGCTCCGGCCGATGGACCAAAGCCAGCCAAGATAGTATGGGTGGCGTCTTTTGCGGGTAACCAAAAGGAAACCTACCACTTGCGGGCTCCCCTAAAAAATGACACACCAATATGTGTTTATGTGTTGGATCGTCGAGCTGCTTGGCAGGGCAGGCCACCCAACTCAAGTGATGCTGGGAAGTTGACGCAGGACATTCGGAAAGGGGATCAGCCCTCAATTTTGTTGACATCAAGAAGTCAGGACGCACCGTGGTCTCAACTTTGCTGCTGGACAAGGAACTGCTGCCTATACTGCAAACACAGCAGTTGACAGCGCGACGGCTGATGCCAGACAAGCTCTAGGCCAAAAAGGAGAGGCCATTGTATGTTGTTTTCTTGATGAACTCATCGACTACGGTTTGTATTTTGTGGACCAGTGCACCTGGACAGTCCCCCGCTGCGCTCGTTTCATGTTTGTGTGTTTGATTGATTGATGTTTGTTCATGTTTAAAAGTTTAGTCGGCCGGGAAATCGGAGAGGCGCACGCTTCAATCTGTTTCATGTTCTCATTTCTGGTATTATCTGGTGCCCCATTTCTTCAATATGTTTTCATGTTCTCTCATTTCTGTTCTCATTTCTGTGACAGTTCAGTTTTGTCTGATATACCAGAAAGACTTTCCCGACGCCCCCTCTCGGTATCCACCAAACTGGTCCAGGAAACGAGCGCCAAGCACCATGTGGTGGGAACATCTGAAAGTTGTTTTTTTGGTGCTTTGTCATTGGTAGGGCGATCATGCAAACAATTCAGAAGCTCAATGGGTCGTGTCTCATGCCCCACCCTTCCCTGATGGAGCACTCGGCAGATGGTGTGTTGCATGAATAGAAGCATCAACTTATGTCTAGTTCGAGAACGATCTTGAACAAAGACTTGGGGATCCAAACTTTGTTGACCCATTTGCGGACCCTTTTCGAAGCTGCTTGCTTTTAGCCACAAGAACAATACGCCTGTGCCAGCTTAGGATATGTTGAACTTACAGCTTCCGGGGAATACACTACACCTCCGGTGGGTTTCCTGTCTTCCTCTGAGTCCTGAGAGGCGGTTCCCCTTAAAGATCCCCCCCAAGAAAAGGCACTTGTTTGACGGTTCCACTTTCAACTGGTATCTCAAATTTCGGGTCCTCTTTGACATTTCGGCGGACTGACAGCTTCAAGTTCAGACTCCACAGCCCCCCCAAAAAAAACCCAAAAACCGGCCTTTCAACTCCAAGCAACGAAAAGCCAATAAAACCCCCAAACGAAAAGCCAAACCCCCCCCCAAAAAATAGAAGAAGTAGGGGGCCTGGGGGGAAGTCTGTTGATGGTTGCCTGTTATGGTTTTTATGTTCATCTCAAATCTATGTTCCCCCTTATTCGTTTTTAAAAGAGGGTTTTTAGGGAGCTTATTTATCGTTTTCGTTAAGGTAATCATTTTGGTAATTGCCCCCCTTGTTCATTGTTGGGCTGGGGGCAAACATTTTTTTCATTTGAAAGAGTTGACCCTTTTAGTAGTTATCAAGTTCTGGGGTGTTGGCGGTGCATTTGTTTTGTTAGTATGTTTCTCATTAATTTTCATTTATAGGTTAAACGTTCAGTATAATTATAACATATAAGATTTTACATGTTATTATTATAGTATGATTATAATCCCAATACAGGATAATAATTTAATTGATTTGTCTTACTTCTTTCATACACCATTTTAAAAATAATATTAATATCTCTCACTGTATTTTGAACATTAAACTTTTTACTTTCAATAAATAATTTGATATTTTCTTTAACATCTTCTCCTTTCTCTTGACTATAACCCAACATCCATAATATATCATCAATCATGTCATATTTTCTTACTGATTTTGAGAAATGCTCTAACATAACTATGAGGTGGTATTTCATACACAGTTAAAAATATCAAAATGTCATCTTCAACATTTCTTTCATCTATTTTTTTAATCTCCAAAAATTTTCTATCATATTTTGATATCGTCTCCATCTTCTACAAGTTCTACATACATCTTCTTCACTCAGAGCATAATCAGTAATATTATTTACTATTCCATTAGGTAAATTCAATTTGTATAATTCCATATTTTCTTTTTTGAAGTGGCAACAATCATAGCATTTCTTATTAATATAACTGTTGATTTCATCATAGTTCATTTTTCTCTTAATATGTTATGCTATTTTTTCTTTAAGTAGTTTTGACTAGGGGGTTGCTGGTCAGCTGGTCTGGGTTTCAGGTTTAATTTAAATGTCTGTGTGAGCCAGACCTTGCTGTGCGAGCCAGACCTTACTGTGTGAGCCAAACCTTGCTGTGTGAGCCTGACTGTGTTGTGTGAGCCTGACTGTGTTGTGTGAGCCAGACCTTGTTACTTGAGCCATTCTCCCCTTAATTGGGGAGTTCGCCCCCCTTAATTGGGGAGTTCGCCCCCCTTAATTGGGGAGTTCGCCCCCCTTAATTGGGGAGTTCGCCCCCCTTAATTGGGGAGTTCGCCCCCCTTAATTGGGGAGTTCGCCCCCCTTAATTGGGGAGTTCGCCCCCCTTAATTGGGGAGTTCGCCCCCCTTAATTGGGGAGTTCGCCCCCCTTAATTGGGGAGTTCGCCCCCCTTAATTGGGGAGTTTACCCACCGTTTTCAAATCCAATGATATAACATTATAACCGAGCGACTTTGCTACTTTACCAACTGAAGAAGTACCACTAAATAGTTCTAATAAGTGCATATATTATTAGAACTATTTAGATATTAATATTTTCACATACATATCGTTGATGTTTTTCAGTTCTCTCGTGTCTTCTTATATCACATTTCCTGAAAACACCACCACATTCACATTCAATAGGTTCTTTTCGTTTTTCCAATATTGTTTCTTTGTTTTGGTGGTAGTGCTCCCTACTTTTATTACATATATGTTCTTTGTTGTTTTCTGCGTATTCCTTCCTCATATTTTGATAGTGTTCCTTATTGTCTTCCTTCCACTCATTAATTGTTCTACCTACCACACATCTATTCACACAATCATTATTTTGAATGTAATAACCTTCTCTTTTCATTAACTGTTCTCTGTTTTCACATGGGTAGTCTTCTAATAATTCAATCTTACAGTTGTCCATTCCATATTCATCAAACAACAAACGACAGTTTGTTTTATTATTCCATTGTTCTGCCTTGTTATAATTTTGTCTATGTCTTGCCATTCTTTGGCTCAAGCTTTCACAGGTGCTTCCGATGTAGCACTTATTATAACCAACATCTGTTATTTTGTAAATCTTTGCGTTTTTATATTTACTGCTATCCATTAATAACCTTAGTTATCTTTTCTTTAACGCAGTTTATAATGTCCATAAGGCAGTGAATTGAAAGCATCAATGTAAAACCTTTTATTTTCATAATTACTGAGTGATTGCTTGACTTGAGACATTGAAAATAATTGATGGTTGCGACTACGAATAAAATTATATGTTATTTCATGCTTTTTGTTTTGAAATAATGCTTCGTGGTAGTTTTGGTAAGTCAGTTCTTTCTTCACCTTGTGTTTCACTACACCTTTTGATTTCTTTTGTTCTTCTTCTTCACCGTGTATTGTAAAAGCATACGATTTAGGCTTTAACCCTATGAATTGTGTTATTGTTTGACCGTTGCACTCATCCTTGAAATAACCGAGTTTTTTCTTATTTGTTTTGTCATGGCAGGGGTGTTCAGGTGGATAATCGCTAAAGTCCATATATTGGTTTAATTCTTTGAAGTCCTTGTAGATGTCCTCAGTGAATGTTTGAATTACATAACTGTCAGTATCAGTATAAACCAGTTTGATGTTTTCATTGTATTTCTTCTTAAGAACATCATAGTAGAACTGATACATATGTAATTTACTGATGTCAAGGATTGTCATTCCTAAGAAAATCGGTTTGTCCAGTTTCAGCTTCGCTTTAGTTTTTTCAACTCCTACAAGGTTTTCATTAATAATAAATCTATTTTTGAATGTTGGATTATTAACACATTTTTCGTATCTAACTTCATTATCAACTAATTCAAAGTCCATATGATTTCGTTTGTCTTCCATAGTTTTTCCATACACAGAATTATTCATTAATTTGAATAAATCTTTCTCAAAATCGCTTTTGGCTTCTTTCCTTTTACCAGTGTTAAAATCAATCCACGGTTTCAACCATGCCCTCTGTTGAAATTTTATTATCCTATGGACTTTTGTCATTTTCATTCCCATTTTCAAATAATACTGTAAAGTCTTGATATGAACCACATATTTTTCTTTATCCTTTAGATTTAATATTAACTTACTTGTTTTCTCATCCTTGGGATTTTTGCCATCATAATATATTTT